GGACAGCACCGGCCGGGGCGGGCTCTTCCCACACAGAGGAGGCCCAAGGGGAGGCGAGCTCTTGTCCCGTCCATCATAAAACTGAATGTATGAGCCGGCATGACATGGGTCCCCTGAGCTTTCACCAGAGGTGGGTTCCAGCCTAGGGTTGAGAGGGGCGGAGCCACGAGGGGACTCTGGGAAGAGAGGAGCCGGGCTCAGAGGAGCCACTCGTAGCAAACTGTAGACCAGGAAGAAACGAAAGTGGAACTGGACCTTGTCTTTAGGAGAGCTGCCCTGCATGGTGAGGTGGCAGTCAGTCCCCATGGTCACAAAGTAGTACTTCTTAGATTCCTGGTGCGAGTTGACAATCATGCCGTCACCCTGGATCGTCTGGCCACAGAAGTCCACCACATTCACTGAAAAGGAAAAGACACTGTGTGTTTGGCTCTTTTTAATATATTATTTTACAGATCACAAAAAGGACACTTGTCTGTTTTAGAGTCTCCTCCATTCTAATTAAGAAATTTCTGATGTAATCAAGAGAAAATAGTATCTGATGTGTCAAGCTTACATTGAAATTAAATCATTATCTCAGGAAAGATGAATATCAGAATCTTGAGAAAATGGGCTAACCACTCTCAGCCTCGGCTCATATTTTACGGCCATTGTAGAGTGTTAGTGTATACATAAAACTATTGATTTGTATGAACTCTTACTACTACACCGACAGAGACAGCCATCTAGGCCTGGTTGCCTTGCTCTAAGGGACTTCAGCAGGAAATTATGCTGGCATCCACATCCCCATGTTCTGTGATTTACAATAAGCTTATTGGAAAAGTCTCCCGCCGTTTCATTGTTATGAAAAAGGGAGTTAGAGGATTTCTGTGAAGAATCTGATTGGAACATGGTTGAACATACATATGAATTTTAATATCTAGCGCAAAAACTTTTGAAGTTACTCATAGAGCATATACAGCCAATCAATCAGATTCCATAAAAAAATACAACTCATCTACATTTTTTCATGTACGTACTTTTAAAGCAACATTATGTAAGATGGTTTTTCTTGTGTCTTTTGAGTGTAATTCACTGCTGCCGTAAATAAGGACAGCGTAACATGTGTATATGGTATGATTTCATTACTTATTATCATAAATTAGCAAGTCATCAACTTTGTTAATACAGCCAAACTTCAAGCAAGCGCAACAACACAAGACACAGCAAGCCAGCTAGTATTACTAAGTTAGTCCAACAAAAAGAATGTCAGCTCTGTTTCTGTCTAGCAGCCTTTTATTTCCATGAAGCTCAATGTCTTGGAGCCTTTTCAGCTTCCTCTGCCAACATATTCTTTGGTCTCTTTGCCCGTTTGTGCTTGGGTGACAACTTTGTTGACATAGGCAAACATAAGCAAGCGCAACAACACGAAACACAGCAAGCCTGCTAATAAGTTAGTACTGACTAATCCAACAGCAAGAAGGCCATCTGTCCTGCATCCTTTCAGCTCTTTTAGCTCACGCCAACAAGTAAAAGCCAGTCTGATGTTGTCCGGTCTCTTGCTTGGTCACTCTCTCTTTTTCTCTTCCTCACTTCCTCAGACGTCTTCTTCGGTCTCTTTGCAGCCTCTGCTGTGATACATCCATTCTGAGAACACCGAGCTACCTTCTTCCAAAAGAACCTACATTGTGCGTTATACATTTGCTTCTTCTTATAGCTTGCTTGCTGAAGAGTTTTGTTGAGAATTCTCTATAATTCTAACTATTATCTGTGTCTCCTTGATGGTTATTCTCATATTAATCTTAAGTTGATTCATTAGTGTTATGTTCTAGTTTTGTGGCTGCTAAGAAAACACTCTTAAATTCCTGGATTAATCTTTGGTGCAGTTGTTTTGAATAAAAAACATTACTGGTATAGGAAACCTGGAATGCGTGACAACAAGTCTGAAGTGTTATATCTCAGAGGAACCAGACAGCATAGACTGTTGTCAAGGACAAAAATGTACTTGTGATCTGCATTAGTTTTGGTTGGCTGTACTCTTCCTCAAGGTCTCCTGCTTTCTTGCAAGACCTCGTTATGTTTGTTGGTATTGTGTGTTGCCGTTCTGTTTATGCTATCTGTTTCATTTTAATGTTAAAGGATGGGTGACTAACTTCAAGTCTGTCTTCAAATAAAAATTAGGTGTCTGTTTGAACACTGAAGCAGGTTTTGTTTGCTGTAATCATTCCTCATTTTTGTTCTAGCCAGTAAAAGAGTCCTTCCTAATTTGTCTACATGAGGCTTCACCAGTCTGACTTTCTTCCAAAGTTACAGTCTTTTCAATATACAACTCCAGCAAAAACAAAGAGGAAATTTAATACCTAAAGCAGGTGAGAGTCAATAATCTAAAGCTATTCCGGTTGCCATTGACTTAGCACTAGATATACCATGACCTGAATGATTGGGAATCTTTACAGACCCAAATGTGTGGTTAAAGAGAACATGTAAATAAAAGATTCCAGTGATGCTATTGAAGAAGCTGAGAGTTATTTTTGATAGTTATTAGGGTTTGTCTTCAACACACTGGTAGATGTACAAACTGACACACATCTGTGTAAAACTGGTCTGCTACATCAGCCATGTGCTGAGCGATGTGACTGTTTGAGCAGCAGCTCACTGCTCATCCACAGGCAGGGCCAGGACAGATGGGTGGGCAGATCCGGCTCCAGCGGCCCCCACCCAGCCACCCACCACCCCCTGCCTCTGGGCCACAGGCCAAATAATGAGAAAATTTATGATCACCCCTGGAGTTTATTAGCTCCGTTTCCCTGGGAGACAAGTAGATCCTCTTGCACTGACCTCCAGGAATGTCCCAAAGCCCGGGAGCCCCTGTTGGTGGGAAACAGCTCATCCCCTCTGCACCGCACAAGTAAATACAAAGCCTGTGGAATCACTGTCCAAAACATGGGTGACCAGAGGACACCAAGTCCCTAGTAAAGATTTTTTCAAAGGCTTTCTAAACAATATCATTGTAAATGGAGTCCAAATATAGAGGGCAGGTGAGGGCCAAGGCCCTGGGTGACAAAAAGTGAGAAATGTGTCTGAGACAGCATTGTGTGGAAAAGGGCAGCAGCCTTGCTGTCAATCCATGTATTATCCTGACACTGGTGACTCAACACAGGCTTCCATTCTATCACTCCACACATAAACTGATTCTGCCCTCCTGTGTGCCAAACAAAGTATATAACAGTACAGTGAATAAACCTGAATAAACTGGTGTAATTGGCTACAGCAAGGGTGAGCCAAACGAAAAAAAAAATTGTATCACATCATGTGCAATTTTATATGACAATATGGATTTCTATCATGATATGCAAACAAAAATTAAATCCAGTTTCGAACTTTAAACAGTACTGTTCATTCACTTGCAACATGGCCTCCATTTGATATTTATGTATTTTGTCCATTAGTTTCTATTCATTTTCGCATAAAATGAGAATATATGAACAAATCGGTGTATCTGGTGGTTGAAGTCATACCGGTCTCGATGGCCGAGCTGTGGAGAGTCATGAAGCAGAGCAGGAGGAGCAGCCTGAGCAGCCTCTGCCAGCAGCCCTCCACCTCCATCATCCAGGCTGAGAGGCAAGTGCGAGAAGGAGAGAGTCCGGTACAGTCCGCTCACAGAGGATATATCAGAGTCATTCCAAGCGCGCATCAAATTGTCATAGCTGCTCACAACTTTCGCTGGAATGTATATGAGACCACAGGACAGGAGCTGTGAGTTGAGATCGGATCAGCCGCTCTGCTCTCCATCATAAAAACTCTGCCTTTTATTCCGGCTGAACCTCCGCTCGGTCCCGTTTGAGCCATGGCAACACGCAGCCAATCAGCGGCCAAGCAGGCTACAAAAAAATAGTGTTTCCTCACCTGATGCAAACTTCTTAACATGTTAAAGTTCAGTTGTAGCTAGGAATGCTTCTCAAATGATGAAAACCCCAAACATGCGCCTACTTTATTTGTCAGTTTAACATTCAGATGAGAGCAGGTTGCACTCCAGCGCCCTTCCTTCAAGGATGACAGGCTGACCTATTGGTTTACAGTTACAGGTACAGTAGCTTTGGCAATATTGTTGCTATACATTCATGCCAATAAAGCTAATTTGAATTTTACTGGGAGGCTGTAATTGAGCTGTACCCCTAGTTGCAAAACACGTTTTGTTTTTGTTTTGCAACATGCTTCATTTGGCACTATTTACTATTATTATTACTATTATGTTTTATATGACATTACATTATTCACTGTAATACTGGAGTCTTAGCTGTGTCTACTTTTTATGTGCAATAAGCAAAATCAAGTACTCTGCATTGACTGGTAGGATTAGATAAATAGTTAGATGTTAGATTTTTCCAAATTTAAATAATGAGGCTGGTGTTATTCTGTTTTACAATTGGTTAACAAAAATCTATTAGAACCAAAAATTGGTTAACAAAAATCTATTAGAACCAAAACCAAAAGTGGGTTAGTCCATCTGTCAATACTTAATTTTCCTACCCTGTTTGTGGTTCTCCAGCCCATTAGTTTCTACATGGACTAATAGGCTGCAGTTTTTAGTTTGGTGGTGCATTTGTTTGGGACTATTTGCAGCAGGGGATTAATCCACATGTGGTGCTCTAGTGAGTTTCTGGGGCAGAAGGACAGTGTATGTGGGGCCGAGTCAAAATAAACTGGTGGTGGAACAGGTCACCCAGTGCAACACAATGTGTTGATTTTTATTAGTTTTAACTGGACTCAGTCAGTTCTCACTCGATACCCACTAATATCTAAAATCTCTGCACTTGTGAGATTTGACCTTGGTGATGCTACGGCCAACTGGCATTTTGGTCAGAGGGAAATCTACTGAATTATTTTCTGTAACAGAACAAGAAAAATTTTATTTGAACACAAATAAAGTTTGCCAACAATAGACTGCTGAAACACTAAACATGTTTATATATAATTTAATTTTTAATAAATGCAAGAATGGCACAGAATGAAAGCAAAGGATGTAGGTTATAAAATGTAGGTTTATTTTTCAACTTCAGTCAGACTGCATTCAGACAGTATTGATAAAGAGTGAGCGTTCAGACTGGGACCAGCAGATCACATCATCTCACCATATGTCCTTCTGTGTCTTTAGGGGGAAAAAAGCCACCAAGAGTGTGTGTGGTGATTTGATTAAACACATTCATTTAAAAATGTGCCACATATAAGCACCAAACTGAAATAATGAAGGTCTTCAAACTGCATTGACTCATGATGAATATACTTAAATTCATCAGTGGTCTCAGTGAACGGCTTTATTTCAATATAATATAAATATTAAAATATAAAATTTAAAACAAATGGCTACTTGAAAGTATCCAACATTTGTTAAAAAGAAGAGACCCAAAATGAAGGATGACAACTAGTGTTATATAATGATTGGATTTCAGGTAAAGTGTGAGTTGATGGAACAGCTGAAGTTAGAGTTAATTGATGGTAAATTGTACCTTATGTATACACTGAAAACCCCCTTTATTACCAAATCTTATTTTATCTGAAGCCTAGAGTAAGTGCAGTCGGATTCTCTGACCACCACGGTTGTCCTTATAAATTCTCCTTCACATCTGTCCTGTGATGTTTTTCTTCGAGGTCAAAGAAAAGTGGTCAGGAAAGCACCCAGGATGAAGAACTCGCTCCTGGATGTTTAGCTCATTCATGCTTAAATTGAAACAGTGTTAACCACTGTGCTCGCCATCCCTACTGCATGTTGAAAAAAAATGCAGGGATGGAGGGTTGTAGCAGAATCTGAAGGTGTACTTAGCATTCCAAGAACGAGTGTTTTGCCTCTGAGGCTGAGTTGCTCACCTCCAGTGTGTTAAAATACATGGGTTCTATTTTCTGGTCACTCAGTAAAATAACAGTTTATCTTTCTAGTGTTCCGGACAACTTGGCATGTTTTCAGTTTAGCAAAGTAACTCACCCCATGTGAAAGTGTTGAAGGTCATTTTTAATCTTACAAAAGGTCAGATTTTAAAACAAGCCCCAACCCAAAAAACCCCGATACAGAACATTTAAAAAGGAACAGATCAGTTAGAATGAAATCATTTTAAAATGAATATTTACAAAATATTATTATATACAGCATTAGTGCTGGTACTACACAAGAGGTAAACCATGTGTGGTCCAGTGTTGGTGGCAAACTGTGTCACAGTGTTGGCGGCAAACTGCGTCACTACTCTACTTCATTAATATCACTAATCCGTATAGACCAGCCATCAGCAATAAAATCAAATATAAACAGGCTTTGGCTTGCAGTCTGAAACTGAACACAACTGATTATTGTGGAATTTGTTGCTGAATATTAAAATAAGACCCTTATGTTAACAGAAAATAAAAGGGCATGAAAAGAGAGTAGGAAGGATCAACACTTACAATAAACAGCCAAAGAAAGCAGCAGTATTTTTGGAGTATGTGTTCGATGAATTAAAAAACAGCATTATAGCAGCTTTTCTCAAAAGATAGAATTCATCTAAAAACCAGGCCTATAGGTTATTTTAAAGTTCAACCCCTCAAAACATAAATGAGTACTTCTTCCTCTTTCATTTGTCAGCACCTTCTGTAGCTCACTTGCATCTGTTGTCACTGACAGAACTGACTTGTTGCTGAAAAAATAGGCAGCATTTTCTACGTTGCTACCGCCCCAATACAATAGCAAGGAGCACAGTGTTTGAATATTTTACATCACACAGTAGGTTGGTTAAGGCAGGTAATCAGATGACACATTTATACTCATTGCATCAGTCTGAATACTTGTCGAAAATGCAGTCTGCATGGAGATACATGGGTTTATTTATTTTTAATGGGTCTGCAAAACTATTTGCGCCTCTTTAATCTGAAGTAATAATGCTCCTAGTGTAGAAGCTGTTGACAGGCATTTTGGGAAATAAAATACTTCCAAGTCAAGTAGACAAGGCAAGTTAAGGAAACATTGGCATTTAAAGACTTAAACTTCATCATAAAATAACAGGAGAAATGCAGTGGACATCAGAGACTGACCGAATCTGTAGAATGTTTCGCTTCATGTCCATTAGTTCATTTGCCAACTGATCAAACCTGTTTACCCTACCAGCATGTATTTGTATTATTTCATCTAGGGATGACCCACAGAGGCGTTTCCCCAATCCAGTTTGCAAATATCAAATCATATCCAACATCCAGTATATTTTACTACATAAGGCAGTAAGTTCAGTAGTGCACAATAACAGGCCTAAATTAAACACTTTACACTAGTCACTTATCTAGATCATAATGTCATAACATGGAGAGACAATAAACAATTGTACTGAATTAATGTGCCACCTTTTTAAAAACAGACTGAAATCACAAGTGACAGATACGTCAATTCTGTGCAAGCAGATGAGAGTAGTGAAATGTGCCTTTACAGTGTGTCTTACAGCAGAGCCACTGAAACCAACCCAAAAGGTCAAAAAACACCTCCAGAGTGTGTTACTACTATCAATAACTGTCTTCAAAAACCTTTATGTCTCTACACATGAAAAGGACTCCCCCCAAAGTGTTAAATATTAAATATGTACTAAATAATATTTACTACGACCTAATTAAGTACTTATAAAATAAATTGTTATATGAACAAACTGTGTCAAATATATAATTTATAATTCGTGAAACATGACATTATTAATACTAATTTATTAATAATTATAAAGTAAATAAAGTATAAAGTAAAATAACTGCATCATTTTTATTTTCATAAAAAATGCCCTTGGCTTAAGTGTCTGTTTCTTTACAGCAGCAGTCTCTAGCTGTATGATACAGAATTGGCATTGTTGTTGCTCCAGCTAACAGGAGCTCCCTGGCTACATGTGGTAGCAGGTGTTGAGCTCGCTGGCTACATGTGGTAGCAGGCAGGGAGGTAGGTGATTGGCTGAAAGATAAAGGGCGGTGACTGTTGACAATGCCACTGTCATGGAAAGACATTACAAACTAAAAGCAGACTTTTGAAAAAGGGCATTTGAAATAAGAATGTCTACAATGAAATAAAAATGATATCCAATAAAATTCAGTTATGAAAATGAATGTCTGAATATTTGTGATTCAATGATTTTTTGGTTCATTATTATATCTTACACAATTTATTCTTATGATTATGTATTTCATTATGTCTTTTTTAAATGTACTTTATATTAAACACTTTGGGTTCCATAGAGTGTGCTTTGTGGACCAGTGAAACAGAACGGCTATGGCTTTGTTGACTTTGTTTTTATGTCCACACTGTGGCAGTGCAGCGCAGCCCTCTTCACTTATTTTGCACAGCTGGTCAGTGTTGTCATCTCTTTGTGTATTAACTGTACACCAAACTAAAGGGCAGAATGTTGGCCTGGCGAAAACACTCTTCTGCTGATATTTGAGGCTGACACTGACGTTAAATTAAATATTGTATATCAAGCACTCAGTGTCACCCATACCTGATGATGTAGCACTATTACTATCAGTAATACTGTTAAAAATAATAAAAGATAAAAATCAAGGGCAACAAGTCCAGTTGCCCTTGATTTTAACCTTTGTTGAATAACTATGACCTGGATAACTGAGAATCTTCTTAGACATTTGGAAGTTTTAGCACATTTTTGGCCTGAAAATTCTCAGAAACTGCATATTCTGAAAATATATTTAAAGATGCACATCTTAAATTTGTTGTAGCAGCCCCAAACTCAGGAAATGTATCTTTAAGTTTTTTCCTTTCCTTCATGGATTGACTTAGCTTATCATATTTGACCCTGAGCTTGAGTTCTGGCCATGGCTGTGACAGGGCAGTGTAGCTGTCTGCCCACACCGTTCACTGTGTGGAGTGTCTGGCCAGAGGAAAAAGGGAATGAAGTTGATCTACCTGAAAACAATGTTACCACTGATCTCCTTAGGATGAAGTGCAGGTGGGAGTGCTTGGTGGTGAGTGCTGTAAGACACAGCTTTTCACTCTCCACAGCAGTCTTCATTGCAGTACACCCTGTTAAACACTGAATTATCCTATGCATTATGAGAGGCTTTGACCTAATGAATCCCGTTGATAATGTGATTGTGCAGCAGCTCCTGTTCATGGTTGTGCGGGATGGTGTTCACCTCCTCGTCCCTTAGCCGAGCGTTCTTCCTGATCTCCTCCAGGGAGTAGTCCTTCACCAGGCTTCCATTCTCAAAGACAGTCACCAGCAGGTCCTAAAGAACGCAGAGCACAATGATCAAGTACAGGTAAGTACAGTAAATACATTCAAGCTGTATTTAATCTAAAAAAGCTAGACTTGTGGATGCAGAGGGACAGAAAAAAATCCTGCATTTGCATCTAGTTTGAAATGCGCCTCATAATTTCCTGTCTCTCTACAGTTTGAAGTTAGCGAACAGTGTTGGACAAGTTACTCAGAAATTGTAATATATTACTAGTTACTTATTACTCCTTAAAAACTAATATTATTAATTATTACTGGGTGATAAAAGTCACTTGTTACGTTACTAGTTACTTTCCAGTGTGTCCCACAGAATGACAGCGGGGAGAAGGGGGTTATTAACTAACTTTGGTACAGAGGTGTTCAGAAGAGAGAGAAAGAGGGAGCAAGCGAGCGAGGAGGTGCTGCACGAATATATGCTCCTTAATACAGCTCCTCAATCAAATATGAATTTAAATACGCCAAGTAAAAAAAATTTGAAAATCAATTTGTGGCAGTGTTGATAATTAATCAAATTATAGGCTTATTATGGGAAACACGGCTTTCAAATCCACCCCCCTTCACCCCAAACAAAGCAGTCTCTCCCGACTTTTTAACTAGTATCTTATTCATAACAGTAGCTTGGAGTATGGTGTTTACAAAGCATATAGCCTAAGTCCAACGTTTCCTAACACCACCGGCTGAAATAAAAAAATAAAGCAAGTGAATCCCGACTTTTGAACAGCTGTTTTTCTGCACACTTTGCCTGTTTATAAGAGCAGTTACAAAACGTTACGTTAACGCCACTCTCTCCCGACGAGTCCAAGCATCAGACAGCAGCAGCCTGAGTTTCTTCTTTAAGTTTCACGTTGCTCTGCTGCTTCAGCAGACGCTTCAATAAATCAGATGTAGAACTGTTGGCGGTTGAAAGCTTTTTGCTGATCGCGTTTACACTAGACGACAATGTTCTTTGCATCTTAGACAGTGAAACATAAATGACGGTAGCTACTTACAGCTGTGGAAAGAACACCTCTCTACCCCGTTCTCCATTTTCCTTTAGTGTTTGGCTATCAGCGGACATGAACAACAAAGTCCGGTGCCGCTGACCTGCAGTACAGTCGCGCATTCACGTCAGTAACGAGTAATACAACGTTACTTAGATTAGTAACTGTAATAATATTACTGTTTTAGAAAAGTAATTAGTTAAACTACTAGTTACTGGGAAAAGTAATATTATTATTACAGCCCAACACTGTTAGCATATATGTTTCAGAAGGACATCTTGTTATTATTAATTTGACATACATGTCTATAGATAATGAGAAAGACAACAGACAACATTTGTTTCATTTTGCATATACTGAGATCGAGCAGCTTTTAAGATAATTAGCAAAATAGAGCTTCATTGATTAGTTGATGATAACTCGTTTAGGTCATTTTACATGCAAAACAACAAAAACTCCTACAGATTCTCAAATGTGGGGATTTGCTATTTTTCTTTGTCACATCTAACAGTCAATTGAATATAATGTAAGCCTGTCACAGAATGTAGGTGCTCGAATGCTGTAGGTGTGTAGTAACAGCGCCGCACCGACACCAGCAGCAGGCAAGAACCCCATTGGCCAGGGCACGCCTCCCCCTGATCCGCCCCCCGCCAGGCAAGGCGGACACCTACCCCACAGCGCCACCGACATACAAGGGCAGGAAACGGGGCCAATGAGCCCCCCGCCACCATCAACACCCCCGCCCGCCTGCGTGTACGTACTGTTTTGTGTTGGATGCATGTAATGGTTTGTGAAGTGTGGTATGGTGGAGTGGAGATAAGGTGTGTAGTAACTCAGCTGCAGTTAAAATTTGGGGGGCCTGCCCCGCCCACCAACTGCCCCGCAGCATGCCCACCCCCCAGAGTCCTAAGAGTGTATGTAGTGAGACATACTGGAAGGGAAAGGTGGAGGATGAAGAGGTCATAGGGAGGCTAGGGAGGAATGTTTGATCCCCACTGATCATCTGAATTTAATGTCAGTCAAAGTTAATGAATGAAACGCTGGGACTAACCTCCTCAGGCTTGCCTGCCCCTCTCTCTATTGTCTCTAAGAAGCCATTAGAGTTTCTCCTCAGTGATAATCGACCCCTCTTTGACCCTTTGGATGGGTCGGTCACCGGCTGCTTGTACACGTCCATCTGGAAGAACACATACAAGCAAAACCAGTTATGTGAAAGCATCTCTGGAGTTTTTATTCTGAGATATTTTAAAAGCAAATACTTCAATGAAAAAGACCTGGCGGGTGTAATAGGTATGGGTGTGTTTTCACCCGACAGAGCTGACCTACACACATGCAATTAAGATGTAAATGGAGTAGCTGTACAGCTGAATATATAGTATTTTTTATGTTCCCTGGTTTTAACTTTGTACTTTTGCATCATTCCTATCAACTATGACAACATCTGAGGGCCAGAGTAACAAGAACAGTCGTCATCATCCAGACAGCTTGTGACCAAATGCAAAGTTAATGTAATTACTAAATCACTCATTTGGAAGTAAGGGTAACTGTGAATGTCTGCAATATATCTGCTACTGTCTTCCATTGCGTTACAGATTTGTGTTTGCACAGTAAGTGCGAAACTCTGCAAAGTCTACTTCCGTAAGTCTGACACAAGACCAAATCTCAAATCTACAAAAAGTCTTTAAAACTGCACATTTAGCTGGATGAAAGCTGCAATCAACATGAACAATCCATTCTACAACTGCATTAGCTGTATTCAAAAAATAGGTTCACATTTTTTCCAAGTCCATTTTAAATCTGTTGTTAATCAGTTGTCAGTAAATTATGTTTGAAAATCTCTTAAGCAAGGATCCAGCTTTCTAATCAAGTCAGGACCCTTCCACTCACCCCCTTGCCATTACTCTCCACATAGCTGCACTTGAAGGCACAGCTGAGTGTATCTCTGTTGAGTTTCTGAAGCAAAGCGCTGCCGCAACCAAAGAAGACGTTCTCAGCACTCCAGCCTTCATCACTCACCTTCTCAAGAATCTACGGAAAAAATAGAAAGGATGGATTCAAAACCAAACTTGTAAATATTTTGTAGGCAAGACAAGTGCAAAAATAAGGTTATTGTTACAAAATAAACAAATCATGATTTTACTTTTTGACCATGACAAACCCCTGCTAATATTTGGACAAAGAACTAATATTTGGACAAAAGCACAACGATGCAGACAAATTTAATGCATCTTTAAATGAAAATATGGTTCATATTGTCAGAGTCAGACATTAATTTTATGAGTTTATATGGAGTTATATTACTTTTGGGCTGAAATCTGCAGAAACACAGACTCAGTCAGTCACAGTTACACATTAAGTGAGCAGACAGGTTTAAACAAGTTCACAGTTTAACAAAATTATCTATGCCATATACTTGGGAATGAAAATAAACTTGTTCTTCTTGACTACAAAACTGTGGCCACCGGTGTCGCAGCACTACCAAATCTCAGTGATGAAACATGTGAGTACACTGTTCAGAAACAGGAAAACTATAAAAATAGGACCCAGGTTGCATCTTTAAGCATCTTTCTGAGAGCAAATCAGGAAAACTGAATTTGTAGTACAAAAATATAATTTATTAAATATGTTTAAAGAGGAGTTGAGATTAAACCAGACTAGTGCAACAACCAAACTTTCTCACCTCGTCTATTGAGTTGAGGTCAATGCCGTCTCCTTGAATAATTCGCAGGTAAGAGGGCAGAACCTTGTATCCCAGAGAATTCATCGAACAGCCAAAACAGTCCTCCAAAATCTTGATGACCTACAAGGCATTAGAATAATTTTGAATGAGTTTGATTCATGTAAGTATCAGCCATGTTAAGTAGCAGCAGTCTGAACATCTTACAACCTCAGTTAAATAAATAACTTGCTAGTAATCGATCCAAAAAAGCCAAGAAGAAGCGAAGTTCCAAAATCCAGGTAAAAAACACGATAACAGTTTCAGACAGATGCCAATAGTCTAAGATAAAATGACTAAACAGCAACCGCCTGTCTCTGTCTGTAGCCGCTACTCGCTCAGTGTCGTGCCCATGATTGGTTACATGTCACAAGTAATTGCCTATCAACACTTGCCAGACCTTAGCTGCTCCAGCAAGCTGTGTGTCAAGGGGAAGGCAGCACATATTACTGAAACAAGAATAAACATCATCGTATGATCTATTTCTATGGACAACAAGCAGCTCAGTGTCTCTGTTACACTACTGAAACGGACTACAATCCATTGCACCACATTGAATTTCCCCTTGTGGGATTAATAAAGTATGTCTTCTTCTCCTTCTTCTTCTAGGATATTAGACAGATGTCTGTCCAATATCACCCTGGTGCATGGCGCTGTTCCCTAACAAAAATATTACAGAAAAGTGTGGAATTTGCGACACAACAAAATCAACGATAGAGCATAACTGCAAACAATAGACGTTTTTCTATCGTTGATCAATATGTATATTCAACAAGTAGTAAAAATAAAACTTCCAGGCAGAAGTCACATTTATATGCCTGGATTTACTGAGTTTAGATATCTGTTTTTGTTGCCCAACAGTGACTAATCCAGCCCTAGTACTTACCTCAATAAGAGTCTCTGCTGGGTCCCCAGAGTCCGGCCGGATGACCAGGCATGAGTCCTGGCTGCGTTCCATGACTCGCTCTTTCAGCTTTTCTCCCCAGATGTGTTTACAGGCATTAAAGATGTCGTAGCTGTCACTGACCACTGACACCGGCCCTGAGGAGAACTGGTCCAGGAGTCGCTCAAATGCCTCCTTCTCCCTGCTCCTCCCCCAAGAGATGATGGTACTGGATAAGAGGGAGGAAGTAATGAACTATTAAGATATTAAAACTGGTTCTAATAATTGAAGATATAACCCCTGATGGCTTTACAGTTTCCTCACGGTTCATTAACAACTCAACTGTGCAGATTAGTGACATTTATTTTGAATTAAAAGCCAGAATAAATAAAACATTTCTAACCGATTATGTTGCCACAGATTTATTGTTGTAGACTGTCTAATTCAGGATTGATGCATGTGTATTATACCTGTGCTCTGCTGCTGGAATGGAGAAGCCAGCCATTGGGCAGCCATAGTATCGCTGAGCCATCAGCAGCCCAGCTACTGTGTCTGTACTGCAGAAATTAACCAGGTGAGCTGCACCACCTAATGCTGCAGACTGGAGAGCAGAGGTGGAGATTATGAATAACTGCTGTTTAAAATCATTTCACTGAATTCAGTTCAAAACTAGGCACAGTTTAAAACGGTAAATGATTCAGCAACCACCACCACAATAATAATAATAATACCACCCGGGTTATTTTACTTGATTATTGCTGTGGATTTTGTGGTTTGCCATTGAGCTTTTAAAGGGACAATTTGACATTTGTGTGGATGTCCAATAAGTGTTGATGATAAATGCAGTCGACTGAAGCAATACATTTCTCAATTCATGTAATGCCTTTAAGCTGACTTCTCCAGGTAGTACCGACTCTGATATTCAGACATATTTTTTAAAGCCAGAATAGAAATGCAGCAGAGAGAGTCCGAGGCTCCACTGCAGTCGCAGCCATGCAAGAGGATATGGCCAGCGGTTACCCTCCGGAACCTGAGCTGTTGAGAGCAAACACTGTCTGGCTCAAATTACCCTCCACCATTTTGGTACAATGAATTTCAGCGTGAGCAGTTTCTGTTGGGTGCCGTTGTTGCTGACACCCGAGTGTGCATTACTATGCACTGAAGACGTTTTACTCCTAACTTGGACAGAAGTGTGTAGAGACCTTTTTTATGATTCCTAAGATAAGACAACCAAGAACAGCAGGGTCGAGAGGGCAGAAGAACATTGAGTGATTATTTCTGCTGCTATCTTTTGGCCAACAGTGTACTAGGAAACATTATGACTAGGATTGTCATACTGAGGCAGAGTCAAGAGAACATTAAGCATCATTTAAAGCAAACTAAATACCTAGAGCATTAGGCTGGATGATTTTTTTAGTGGAACGTTACACTGCAGGGCTAGCTCAGATGGCGTTAGCTTTGTTGTTCTACAGAAGCCCGTTCTGTCTGGATGTGTGCTGCTGTATGAACATTTACTTGATAGACATGCTTTGACGGTAGCTATGGTAGCTAGCAATAGCTACGTGCGAAAAAAGAAAGGCTATTCTGCTTGGCAACAGCTAGCTTGCACAGAGTTGTTGTGGCCTGTGCGCAATGCATCCTGGTACACGTAGGCAGTGCCTGCATGGCTCCGCGAGCAGGAGAACTCTGCTTTCTCTGTCTATATAGCTCGCGCTGTGGAATTTATTTCTTCAGTGGACTACATATCCCATCAACACTGAGTAGACATTTTTTTAAAAAGTGTAGAATTATCCTTTTAAGCAGGTAGTAACATAGTGAATGTGACAACTGAACTTCATACTATGTATTGCAGTGTCTCTTAAGGTGGGAAAAAATAATGTTAGGTTGGTGTAAAGTGACAAAAACCATGATATACTATAATGACAGAGCAGGGGCGATTTACATTACAACCATGTAAAATCACAGGTCGGAGAAAACTGTTACTTGTTACACCAATGTTACTTTACACCAGCTCTAATGCAAAGCGCTACTAACTCTGTCAGTGACACTGATGATTCAGTACACTCAGATGAGATTGAGGAGTAAGTGTTAATGATTTGTTTAGTTATGCACTGAACAGCTCTACTATGAAGATGCACATAGACATTTTGTTAACACTGCATTGACACACGTCTGCCTTCATGTAATCATAATTACACTGCTGCTGCTGCTGCTGCTGCCTGGTTTAAAAATTTTGTAAGTAAGTGGGACCTATGAGAATTTAATTTTAGAATCCTCTTACAATGAAACACTTTCACCAGCTCAGTCATCCAAGATATTCAAGATACATGCTTGTTATGCAAGACTTTCCCGCTGACTTCTCATAATCTAACCTGCGTCTGTAATCAGTGAGGTGACTAGTACAATATCACAATAACATGATCATATCAGCATGAAGCAGCCGCATACTCAAAGTGGATATCACAAGTTCAACATTTGCATAGGCCATGTGCATCTGGATTTTCAGTGCAAATCCAAGCCAGTTACATGACACAGAATTTTAAAGAATTGATTCTGTTATCCTTAGCTAGGTCATAGTGCAAACACAGTGCCTGTTCATACAGTACAACATCAAGAGCAGTAAGGTGCAAGAGACAGAAGTAAAATGAGAAACTCTAGCTTTGCTTTCTAAGATTTACTCATCCTCAATGCTGGTTTCTCACTAAATAAAGACAAGGACAGAAAGTCTTCCTGACCTCCTGTGAGGAGACTCCTCTATAGCCAAAGTCATGCAGTTTCAGGTCCAGGCCTTCCAGGCTCCCCGAGGTGGCCTTCAGATGCTTGGCCAGAATCTTCTTAAATTCCCTGGATATGGTGGCTACGGTGATGGGATACCACATCTGCACCAGCATGGTCTACATCCAAAAGGGGAGTGTTAAAAAAAAAAAAACGGGTGTGGGGAGAAAAGGAACAGATGGTAAGTGATCAGTTAGTAAGAAAAAGAAAAGAGGCAGAAAAGAAGAGACGAGAGAGAAAAACTGAAGATTCAATGACAGTGGTGCAATATTGGTGTTCTGTCAGGTCAAAACTGCCACGCAACAGTTTCTAAAGACGTTTTACATGATAGAGACTACTCCCAGTTAAGATTGTAGCATTTCTGACCAGGCTGACTGACTCCAGTTTAATATATATAAAAAAAAAAAAAAAAGATTACCACATATTACAAGAGTATTGTGCAAAACTGACATCCTTGGTTAATATTAGGCCATTTTCTGTGAAAGCGGCATGTAAGAATGAAGGCACTGGAGGAATCCTGCCTGAACATTTAACAGATGCATGAAAACAATCAATTTAGACTCTTTAAGATGCACATAGTCATTTAACACTTTTTACTGTGCGGTCAATTTATAATACTTTCAATTGATTTTGTTTCCAGTCTTCAGTGTACTTTGCCTGTGACATTGCCTTGTAATTCACACCCCATGAAGTACAAGGCATGTTTTATAGAATTCATAGATTAAACAAATTACACCAATACCAGATTAAAAAAAACAACAAATGGCTGTCCCTCCTTCTGCTTCCTAACAGTGATATTTGTTCAATCAACGACTGCTAGCTCTGGAACTGAAAAACTCCACCCCTCTAGTTCCTGATCTTTTGGAAAGTACTACCCCCAAAGCAGGGATTTGCCACCTGGAGCTATTGTATAGGAATTAGTTTCTCTGGTCGAAACACAAGGAGTTACTCAAAACATTCTTGATGCCCCGGGAAGGTTCATGCAGTGAAACGCCCCATTAGCATAACATGGAGTTGTAATTAATGCTGTGGATTTGAATGAATCATTTTAACATGTGAAAGGGTTATCTTATAGCTAAAGCATGGAGTTAATTATTCTTTAAGAGAAGGTCAGTTTTTTGTGTCAGTAGCAGGTCATTCATGTACATGAAGCTAACAGACATAGGCAGCCCATAATAATGTTTTTAGTGTGTAAATTGAAATATTGTAATTATGCGAACATCACATTGATCTTTATATAGCTATTAACTTTTTTCATTGTTAGTGTGCAAAACTTTTTTGGTGATTCAATGGACACTCCAACCTCCGTAAATCCCGAAGGGCAGGACTGAGATCCCTTATCCTGTGCCAGTTAATCACTGACATTGACATTAACAACATGGCATCTCCTGGCATTTGTGGTGTCGCCCCTAAGTATAGAATATGTTATCTAACTAATCTGCTAGTTCAATCCTTTTATCATTTAAATAGTCCCACACTAAAAACACATTTCTAGGTTTACCTCGATGTAGTTGGTGAGCCAGTAGAAGTTGGGATCTGTGTTTTCCACAGTGAAGAGCACATTGCCTCTTGGTATGATCCTGCCCTCAGGGACGGCTTTGATCCGGATAGGAAGACGACCATCATGTTTCTGAGACAGTAACGGCACATTTACTTCAGGTTAGATATACTGTATAACGATAAATGCCTCTTTCTCTGTAAATCTTTTAGCCAGAGTGATAGTTGAAAATTACAGATGCACCGATTCCATTTTTCCTGCCCGATTCTGATTACCGATTTAAAAAAAAAAAAAAAAAAAAAAAAAAAAAAAAGGTATGACAAGCCAATTCTGATTATGGTCAATTCCAATTTTCTTTCTTTCTAAAAACTATAACTGACGGCTCCCGATGTCAGCTGGGATTGGCTCCAACCCCCCGCGACACTGTACGCAGGATAAGCGGTTGACGATGGATGGATGGAGGATCTCCATTAGCATTGGCTTTTCTGACTAGGGTCCATTCAACTGTATGTTCATCAACCATGACTATTAAATAACTTCTACATTTTCTCCCAAACTGCAGCAGGTTACAGGACCTCCTCTCACTCAGACCATCTCCAAATAAAAAGTACCACAGATTAGGACAGAGCATTTTGTACAAATAAAATCCAACTGAGAATAAACTGCAGTAACACAAGGCTCGGTGTTACCTACAGAATAACTGTATAGTACTATACTGTAGTGGTTATTTATAGTTTTTATTTGAAAGAAGACATTACCCTATTTCTACTTTAGTGTTTACTGAGTTGCTTTTCCTGGTCCCTGCTTGTAAAATATCGACCGTGTCTTCTAACGTGATACAAGTTTGCGTCTCTCACGTGTGTCTCTCAATTGCGAGGTTGTGTCTTCTTCACAACTATGGCTTGTTTTAGCATATGCATTTTATAATGTCTGTGCCGCTGTGCGCATAAGGTGAAACACCGTCCATGTGTGTAACATTTAGTGTGACCAGCAAAAAATAAAAAATAAACAATACGTCCGGTCATCAGGTGTATCCCTATTGAAAATCGTTTTTCATACCTCCAGGACTTTCCTCCAGCCTTCTTCATCAAACACAGCCTGTTTGAAGTGCATCTGGTAGAAGAGTTTGGCTTCCTGAATCTTCTCCTCTGTGACCACTTGGCCTTTAGAGAACAAACCAAACAAAAAGTTACTACAACCTCAGCAACAAGCAGAAAATACAAAGCCCTGACTCAACATCCAGAAACCTGCCAATCCTGCGCTACGATCAAATAGTTCCTCCAAATTTTTTGCTTATACAGTATGTTGCTATTAATTCACTGGGCTATTTTAATAATGCATGGAATTTCTCTCCGGTGTGTAAACAAGAATGCGGCTGGATGGCAGTTTTATTACAAGGAACTCTTTTCACTAATATTCTCTTTAACAGAGCACGCAATTTCTTTCTCTTTTCTTTCCTGTATGGTTCTGTCAATTCATTTCTTAGATCAGAGAAGATGACGTTAATGTACCTGTGAGGTACTTCTTCAGCAGATACTGAAGACCAAAGAACACCACTTCACTAAACTGGGAGCCTTTCTTGCGTCTGCATTCAAAGTAGGAGTAGATTTTGCTGACATCTGGAGGATACTGTTTGTAGTGTGTGATCTGAAAGACAAGAAAGAAGTCAAACAGAACCAGCTAGCAGGCACAGTTCCCAAAACAGATTGCAAGTAATTCTAATAATCACCCTTAGTGTGGGTAATGTTAATTTATCACCTTCTAATCGTAACACACTGATTTGTATTGTCAAACAACATAATATAAAACCCCATAAGCAAATTAATGATAAGCTGAAAACCGGACGACTGTCTGCTCGACGTAATGCTTGCGTGTACAGTAAACATGTGCCCTGGCTCAGTGTGGTAAGGAATGATGACAGCTTAAAGCATAAGTCTCTCTTTGTGCCTGCACCCAATTGAATAATCGGCAGCTACAGCTAGTCAGTAACTGGAAGAAAGAATCAAGATAAATTCATTAGACATTCTCCTCCCTTAAAGTCCCCTTCCCCCCTGTCTAACTTCAGGAGAACAAATGGAAAACTCAAGAACAGGGGCAGTCCTTCCTGGAAGCAATATTAAGAGATTAATTTACAAGAGTATTAGTAATAGGAGTATGTTTTACATTATTTACAGGCTTATTATAGCAGTATTATGAAACAAGCAAAAAACAACAACACAAAAAGTATTGCGCAATGTGAAGTAGTTTGCCTGTATGCTCACAATCTTCCAGAACCATCGTGATCGGATTGCTTTTGATACTTTTGGAAACATCTAAGTTCGATTAATCTAACAATTATTTTTTCGATTAGTCAATTAATCTAATGACAAATTTTGTTTATTCTTAACACAGAAAAGTTGCCTATTACTCAATTAACATTTTTAACATGCAATTTATCTAAAATAAATACATCAAATTATGCTACTTTATTTAAAACTTTCAATGTTTCTGACATGGATTCATTTCAATATTGAGTAATGCAGTATGATAATAAAATGTATTTCTGCATTAGTGAACACCTGAAAGGACTCAGACTGTACAGTCACAGATCGTCTGTACTGTTATTTTCAGCTGTTTTCTCACTCATACGTGGCCGTTAAACAGAAAATATGAAACGGCCGAACATTAGATGACACGCGGTGTAACGTTGCGTTACCATGACAGCAGCGGGACAGAAATTACTTTTAACATGAAGGCAATAAACATTTTAACGGACTATGTGTCCTCGTGCTGATAATGCGCCGTGCTTGTGTGGCGACAGAAAGTAAACAGGATTTGAGGTGCTGCCGTCTAGACAAAGTGCTCCGGGATACTTTCGTTTCACGTGTTCGTGCTGCTTCACGTATTCGTGGACAGCAGTTGTGCTGCGGTGAAGCTGTTTCCAGTTCACAGAGCTCACGGAGCAGCTCGTTGTTGAGTGTTTGTCTGAAATACTCCAAACTTTAGTCGGTTGAAGACGCGGTCTTGTAGCTGCAGCTTGTCCGGTAGAATCCAACAGCAGGATGCAGCGACACGTCGTCGACGAATCGCCCCAGCCCTAGAAACATCTAGCCTAAACATGATGGTTATAAGGCAAGATCGGAAGTTATAGTTAAGCTATAAAGAGAATTTGATTTTGTATGATATCTATTGCCATCACTGGAAAGAGTGAGTTATGTTGATTCCAGCTATTTGTGTCTGATGTCAGTGTGTTCTTGTTTGACTGAATTATGACTGAGGTTTGGTTTTATCCAAGAGAAAATATTTACATAAAATTGATAATAATGGGGGGCGGCACGGTGGTGCTGCGGTTAACACTGTCACAGCAAGAAGGTCGTGGGTTCGAATCCCGGCCTTTCTGTGTGGAGTTTGCATGTTCTCCCCGTGTCTGCGTGGGTTCTCTCCTCCCACCGTCCAAAAACATGCAGGCTAGGTTGATTGTGCGACCCTAAATTGTCCTTAGGTGTGAGTGTGAGCGTGAGTGGTTGTTTGTCTATGTGTGGCCCTGCGATGGACTGCCGATGGATGGATGGATGATAATAATGCTTAATGTTCATGTGAATAAGATAACTTTCGAGTAGATGTTCGCAAAATACGACACAATCAAAGCAACACATGACAATGTAAATGGTAATTAGGCAACTTTCAGATTTAGACCATTTTCAAAATCAGTGTTTGTCAAGACTATAGTGGATTATATGACAGCAATTGCAAAATAATATAAACTGGGGAACAATATTTAAAAGATGTACAAAATACACAACAGCGTAATGCAACTGTTTTGAAAATTTTAGCCACTTCCACACTTAAAACATGACAAAAATGCAGAACTCTTGAAAATTATGTAGCTTTAAATTACTGGATGTGATTGTGGTGTTAATGGACACTGCTACACATAACAGAGATGGAGTGTGAAATTCTCAAATTTTTAACTGGCAGAAGCATACCAACACCACAGTGTGATTGATGTCCATTGGTGCATTCCTTGCACAGTGAATACAGTACATATTGTATTCTCACTTTTAAAACACTGTGACTCACAAAAACAACACATACAGGTTGGTCTCTAGTCAGTTGGATATCCGAAGTGTTTACAGCTGTTCCTAATGGCCAGTCTAGGCTTGGGCGGTGTCAAGCATTAGAGCCTACCAGGTTATTTAGAAATCCGACTGTATGACTCAACTTTTGACTCACCGTCAAAAACACAGACACTCCTCTTATTATTCTTAAACTGATACGGAGATGCTGTATTGAGCTGATGTGTATGTGGTGTAGACAATGGCATACATAAACAACAGCTCAGCTTTTTAAAATAATTTCAAATTAAATATTCACAGCCGGAATCAGAAATCACATGAATAAATAAATGAATAAATAACAATATAATAAATGTTCAATATATCGTTAATACATTTTTGGTGTAATTAATTTGAATCACGGTCAAATTAGCACTTACTTTTTCCTATTAAAATATTTATTTTGTTGAGGAAAGTGGGATTGAAAAAACACTTACTAATCATATTTGAAATTATGATTTGATATATATCGTGATAAATATCGATATTGAATTATATGAAATGTTTTTATCGTGATAACATTTTTGGCCATATCGCCCAGCCCTGTACCCTGATCTGTCTTGGTATTGCACCAAAGCTGGCACTGTCACTGCTTCAACTTTCTTCCTCTGTCAGTAATTTTGGGGCACCTATGGAGGGGAGGGGTGGTGTGGGTAGGACCCTGGACACCTCACAGAGACAATACACTTGTTAAGCATAAAAGGGTAGCAAGCATTATGTGTGTTTGCACACACACACAGCATGATTATGGTATTAGCATGCTGTTAACAGACCAGTGTAGCAAAGTATTATGAGCTGCACGTGGCAGGGCAAGAGGACACATCAGGCCTCAGTGAATTCCTCAGAATCTGAAAGCTAAAGCCAAGTGCACTCAGACTGCTCAGTGCTGTGGGTGTGTGACGGATCACCGTCACTACAGTTGAGTATGTGCTCTGACTGCCATACCAATGAGCCTGGCCCTTTGGCGTTGCGGGAAACTTGCATGTTCTAATCCGGGTTCAAATCTGGGCCAAATACTGGTTTCCAACAATTTGTGTTTGACCTTTCCCTGTGTCAATATGACAATGCCAGCTCCATAAAGAAATAGTTTTCAGAGTTTGGTGTGAAAGAACTTGACTGGCCTGCACAGAGCCCTGACCTCAACCCTATCAAACACATTTGGGATGAACTAGAATGGAGACTGTAAGCCAGGCCCTCTTGTCCAACATCAGTTTCTGATCTCACACATGCTCTGCTGGATGAATGGGCAAAAATTCCCCCAAAGACGCATTGCAAAATCTTGTAGAAAGCCTTCCCAGAAGAGTGGAAGCTGCATGTTACACACATACAGTTTTACGAATATTTGGCCATAACCCAAAGTACAGGACAAAGTCTAATTCTGACCTAGTCACTAGATGAAAAGTAAGGGAATCAAAGTCAATATTTGTAGATTATTATAACAATCAACCAGTAGCCAAACTAAACCGATCGATCACACTGAATGTTTGCATGACAGTGTTGTTTTGTGCGCAATGTCTGTAAAACAGTTTTGCTGTGGAAACTGGCATCAGCAAGGACACACAGTCAGCGATGCACAGCACCAGCTTATTGATGCAGTGATGTGTTTAAGTGGAAAACCTCAACATAAACATGTACTGTAGAGGTTTGACTGAAATATTGGGCTCATTTAAATAAATATGTCTAGGAGTTAATGAAAAGCTTTCATTGTTCAAATCGAGGAAGCTGCTCTGTTTTCGATTTGAACAGTAGCAACACTGTGTTGTGTTGTAGTGTCTCATTTCTGTGACTAAACGTAATCATCAGTGCAAAACCTTGAAAAGTTAAAATGATGATCACATGGCAAGGATAATTGGTGGTATGTCCTGTTATGCTGCTGGGGCAGTAAAAAAAAAAAAACAGTCTCTCAGCATTTACTTTTTAAAAAATCATGTAAAGTAATGTGCTGTGACAGTAATCCCAGTGGACTTTTAGATGAGCTCATCACAATGTACCAAATCAGTTTCTATTATGTGATTGTGATGACAGACACATTGGAGGAATCCTCCTGGCTGTGCTGCTGCTTTGGACTTGTTTTCAGGGGTCATTGGAGCTATTAAAAAAAAGGCTGGTTGGTCGTCATCCAGACCTTTGCCATTTGGCTGCAGTGCAAACCTTTGAATGACATCTGACATTTAACTCTACTGCCTGCACAAGCTCACAACTGGATTTAGGTTAGAAATTGCCTGAAATGAAACTGAAAGCTACACAGTCAAGGAAAGGTTGGACTCTGGCATTACAATGCAATGAATAACACCATGACTTGCACCTTAGAACTTATGCCTTCGTACATCAAATGGAGTCCATGAAAAGTCTGTGTCATTCCAATAGCATGATTTATATCTTTCTTTCTTTCATTATCTTTAGCCTATCTATTTAAAACTTTTAAGTTATTCTACAGTTTCCTTTCACTTAGTATTTTTAGAAGTCTCAAGCTTTTTGATTATTATAGTGCATCTCCTGAATACTGTGTTCATGGGAAATTAGCCAACAGTTTGCTAAAGTTGGATCACAAACTTTGTCTGTTGGTTATACCACAACACTTACTTTTGGTAAAATGTTCAGTAAGTTCATTCTCATACAGTGTAGTGTTACCAAAATCACTTCAGCATGAATTAAACTCAATAGCTTGCTTTTTACGCTCTGGACCAACTCTGCTGCCAACAGTATAAGTAACTGCATTGAAGTTACATAAACAGGGACTTTTATTACTTTTCAGTGGCAGCAAACACAACACACAGCTTTCACTTTTAAACTGCAACCTGAGCTTATTTACACACTTTACGGCTGGCTAAAGTAACTACTCCTCAGCAACTTGAATATGACGCTATGGTTATCTGCAATCGCATATTCATTAATATATCGAATATATTCGATATATCGCCAATCCCTCACCTCCTCAGTTCAGCATACCCTGTCCCTGACCACTGAAAACTTGGTCGACTAAGACTCTTCTCATCGACCGATTTATTTGACAATTAAGTGAGAGCCCTAAATAAGCCCCTATGTGGTAAATCTGAAATGGCTCATTAGTATTAAAAACTGTACTTTATACTGTCATCAATTGAAGGTTGGCACCAAATACGTGGTCAAATGTTTAGTCTTGTTTATGAATTCTTCTAACAGATATGACTTAATTAAAACAAGTCTGTGTATTATTATTTTTTTTAACACTAACATGAAGCTTGGAACATTTGGTTTTTGGTTGTTTGTTTTTTACTTCAATATTAAATTTAAATGGGAGGTCTACAGTTAGATGTGAAGAACAGTTATGGTATAGGGATAACAAAACTCGGGCATTACGTTGTCATCATAAAAATGTCTACAGCTCCCCATTCCTTGCTAGGTCGTCTTCTCAGCCAAGGTTTCACGGTTAAATGTCATGTTGAAGCTGTGACTGTAACGTTATGGACTCTAACGTTACCCCCTGTGACCTCTGCTCCTGGTTATAACAAACTGTAGGACGCACTACCATGCTTTCAACAAAGTGTTAACTAATGTTATTGCTGATGCCTGACTTTCATTTTTCACTCACCTTCATCTAAAGTTACGAAGTTTCAACGTAGCAGCACAGTCAAAACGTTCACAGGACCCAAAATGCACACGTTTATGTGACGTTAGTGAAATGCTGAACGGGATATGTGCGTTAAATGTATCTTACACTGAATTTATTTGAATTTAATTGGAAAAACCCCAAAATAGCGTAGAAAGAGGGACAGGCAAGAAGAACTGTACCACTCACCTTGTAAGAATCCGTCGCAAGCAAGAAATTAAAATCCTGCGCTGCCATTGTTATGGATGAATGAATTAACGTAAATGTCACTTAAGTCTTCGAAGCAACTTAGCAAGATAGCCACCCAGAACCACAGGCCAGGTAGCAGATAAATAAGCCCTCAACGTCGAATTATTACTATTGTAACCGCTTTATTTCTCGTGTGAACTCAAACTCAGACGTTACAGCACTGGTAAAACAACCAACGCAGCACTCATTTTGTAGATTGGGGGTTGTTGTAAAGGGGGCGAATCACAGTACGCATGGCCACGCGCACGTCATCTTCCTGACGTGGTACGTCATGCTGCATTCAAGTACAAATGGGATGTTCTTTTGGAACGAAGTTAAAGCAAGGGTAGGCAATTTATTTCAGGAGCATTTTTGTTGGATTTGTTGAAATCGTTTATACACCCCAACAACAATCAATAAATAAAATGCTCTGACACAAGAAAAAAAAAAAAAATCCTGTATCTGTGGCTGCTGCAGCACAGTAATAAGCACCCGCCTGCATGTCTTCTTCTACCTGTGAGAACTTTCCCTGCCGAATATGCAAATCGAATTTGCATGATTTGAGAATTTCCCTCCCTCCTCCATGGGACCTTACTTAGAAAAACGTGGTAGTAAATGGTAAGAGACAACTTATTGTTTTTTTTAAATCTTGTTTGAACTGTACACTAAATTTCACACATAATGTTTGTCAATTTACAAAATAATCCTGCAAGTCAAGAAAGTCCCAGGCTGTTTTCGGGAACCGCCTACTACATACTACTGGCAACCGCAGTAGCATGTTGTATGAAACTGTTAAATTTATTTATTTTGCAGTGTGCTAGGCCAGGCTAAGCCAGTATCCAGTTTTCAAAATCGGAACAATTGAAATGTCAGTACTTTTTTTTTTTTAATCTTATGTAAGGAGAACACATTGCATAAATAAGAATTTGATCAAATAAATGCAAAGAAAAAGCAAGTACAATAACCACAACTGTAACATTACACTAACAATGTAATGTCTATTTAGAATAATGATAATAATAAAGCAAAAAAGATTCCTTTCAAACTACTTCTCTTGATTATCTCTTGTTTATTTTTATTTTTTATCACAATACTTACGTGTCCATCACGAGCCAGATGTCTCTTGATTTAAGTTATAACATGAAACATTACTCAGAATGTAAAGACAGAATGACAGAAGTACGAACATTTAAACTGTCTCACAGCTAACAGGTCTTTCCTCTCACATTGTTGCTGGACTGACTCAGCAGCGGTCTGTGTGGCTGTGGGCCAAGAGGGCTCCTTGAGCTCGTTAGCTCTCCCCGCCGCACTTATGGAGCTACTCAACTCCGAAAACGTTCAAGCCCATTTTCAATTCACCAAATATTTTCCTAAAACTGCTGATATTTGAAATGTATGCGTGACGCACACAAAATGTATGGTCACCTTTTTTGGGGGTTTAAGACCAACGGCAGCAAGTTTTCAGTGTTGTTCATTTCTCCACTTTTACAGGTCTGTAAATTTCACAAAAGCACAAAAACCCATAATTAGGCATAGTGAATTATTATCTCTTGTGTTTAAGTTGTTTTTGGTATTCACTGTTTTGTTTGATTGTAAGTTCCTTACAATCTGCTCTGTGGACGGCTGTTATGACACTAACGGTAAAACAAACACAAATGTTAGCTAGCACCCCAGGTGTCTGCCGAAAAACTGATGTTTGGTAGGCCTATGTCTAATATCTTTGTTTATATTTGGAAAACGGGCAGTAGCCTAATTAACATGACATACTGCCAACTTAGATATAAAATGAAGACAATTTTGCAATTATCCTTAAAACTCTGCATTACTTTACTTGCTGTGTAGGCCTACCAACCAATCCACTCTTTTTTACCTGTTAAAATACCTTTAAATGGCCAATAAAACTCATAAAATGCAGTATGTCACTTGCCAGAAAATGATTGAAGCCTTTTGTTATTGACTGAAAGATTATTTCTGCCCTGAAATTAGTTGATTTCATTCAGAAGAGTTATATTTGACAGATTATAGCTCACCTAGTACTTTTTACCTCTTAAAATACCTTTAAATGGCAAATACAACCCATAAAATGCAGTAGGCTATTTCACTTGCCAGAAAGTGATTGAAGAATGTGTTGATTAAAGGTCATCTGTATCAATTAAATGTCAGTATCCTGCCTGGAACGTTATAAACCGTTGGTAAATTGAGGACTGCAACGTCTTTGTCAGTTAGTACAGAACTATTGTGATAAACAGTTTATATAGCCTGTTGATATAAAAAAGAGAAATAGGAAAGGTTTATTTTCCCTGACAATATGTGATAGGTTCACATTCCCTTCTAATGGGTCGAAAGAGGTATGATGAGTAGGTGGAATATTTATCATATTTGTGTATGAGTTTTTTTTTTTATAGATATACATGTTAACTTTATGTAATTTAGTAACTTAGTTGAAAATGAGTGATGTGCAAAAAACTTTATTGATAGACTTAATTTACTGTATTTATTAAATAAATTCTGGTAAGACCGTCAAGACCAACGGTAGCAAGTTTCCAGTGTTGCTCATTTCTCCTGTTTTACAGGTTTAGTAGCCCTGTGCCTGGGGCATGTAACATACACAGTTGATTTCTCATCTCACAACTTGTTAGAAGTGGATTTAGTGATGAAATAGGTTAGAATAGAAGTGAGTTCTAGCGCTTTGCATCATGGCACACAGTATGTGAGGTAGACTGGTGCATACTGGAGATTTCTTTCAGAATCAGTGCGCTATCCGGGTATTTTGCTTTGATGTGCACACTACATACTACATTTAGGCCAAATCAGTACCTACTACTAGTATTGTAGGCGGTTTCAAATACCATCACAATTTGTCGTAAAACAGTAAAGTAACATTTGGTTTTGTGTGAAACCACTCAAGAGATGTTTGTTATAGGAACTGCTAGCAAGACATTATAAAGACATCCAACACAACAAACTCCTCTCTACAACTGTGACTCACTGTTGTCTTCCTGTCTCTCAGTGGCAAAAAGAAGCACTTTTTGAGGATGTAATTTTGACGGACACAATAGCCCCAAAGGAATAAGTTGCAGCCACTGCTGCTGGCTGGAGCCATCTACTACAAAAATACCAAAATGACCCTTTAGCTAAAATAGTTCAGAACACAGTAAAAATACAAACATACAGAATGAGTCAAGTGCTGTACTGTATGTAGCCTAAACATTCTCACAGCACTCAAATTGGTTTTTGTAATACTATGTGATCTTAACACCTAATATTTTTCACTGATAATATCCCCTTAATTTAGCTAAGAAGATGGTAAGCTAATGGGCAAGTTCAGACCAAGTAAACTCACTGGAGTTTTAAGCAGGAAAAACATGGTAAAAACACCAGTAATGGACAAATGTACATTATAGGCAAGTTACAGTCAATGTAATATAAAAACTGGTGGCTGTATTGAACCAACATACTGGATAGTTTTACTAGGCATATATTTAAAAGTATGTTGTTATAAAGACACATACTGTCTCTTTGTCATGTGATTGCTTTTTTAGAAACTACATTTTTAGTGTGTAGCACTTCTCATGTAAACAAAGGACTCTTTTGTGCTGTCTCAATCTCCTATTTTTTGTCCAGCGAGATGGTGTTGGAGCGGCAGCAGCAGGCTAAGGGTCGCACACCTGCGATGTTGAAGGCCCCGGTTCCTCTCATGGCACCATGCTGCAGAAAAAGGGAAGAGCACTTATTGTTTTGTTTTTATTCAGTTCACAGAATAGCCTGCCACCATGGCAATGAGTGTGTAGCAGCACACAAGAGAAATATGAAAAACTGTATATATCTCCTATACCTTAAATACTATTTGTTCTTGATGATTAGGTGGCTGTGGCTCATGGGGTAGAGCGGTCCACTAACCAGAAGGTCGGAAGGTTTGATCAAGACACTGAACCCCAAATTGCTCCCGGTGACTGTGCCATCGTTGTTTGAATGTTATTTCTCTTCTGATGTGCAGGTGCACCTTAGTCTCTGCCATCAGTGTATGAATAGGTGAATGTGACGTAGTGCGCTATACAAATACAGACCATTTCCATTTGATATTCTGTTTATCTGCCTACTGTTTTATGTAAACCAACTTGCCCTACCTTTCTTGCATTTCCATCAGCTGAATCATTGAACTGTCTGTTCCTTCCTTCATCCTGGTGATGCTTACTTCTGACTGTCCAAAGACATTAAAACACTTGAGACAACTATTTAGCAAGTGGTCCAACCCCAGAACAATCCAGTCAGTCGGCACATGTAGTCCTGCATTTAAGTCAACTTTGCCAGCAAAGTAAGTAAATGGCGTAGCACTCACCTGTGTTTGTGTGCTGCAATCTCACTTTATACTGCAACACAAAGGCTACCGCCACTTTTCGCAATCCTCACTGGTGCGCACAACCAGAGGGAATGACGCGTTGATCTGCTGCACTATATTCTGCCACGCCTGCCATGTGCTGTAACACTGGCATTTGGGAATTTTCCTTGTCAACTAACATTGTTCCTCTGTCCAGTTGGATTTTCCAGTTCTTTTACTTTAGATTTACATTACATCTACTTTTTACAGTAAATGCAAAAGTAAAAGTACTCATTCAGCAGAAAATGTGTTACTATATTACAAAATAAATTATATTATTTTAATACTGATGCATCAATGTGTAAGCAGCTTTTAACTGTTGAACCTGCCTCGCGCTTCCCTGTGTGGAACGCAAACAGCGGCTGAAGGTGAGTCAGTTTGGTGCCAGCTCTCGAGGGTGTGACGGCTTGATCCAAGCCGTGGGCCAACTAGGACAAGGAGGATGACCGCTGTGTTTTTGAAGAGGAAGACCCAGCTTCCCTCTTTAAAGACATGTGTGTGCTGGTCACAGTTATCCCCTTGATGACCTGTCTGGCCTTTTTGACTTTCGCCAGAGACATCACCCCAGGCCTCCACAGCCAGCCTTGCAGGAAACTTCGCCCATGTTCAGACTGTCCCTAAATTGGTACCCATTTGGTACTCAAGCTATTGCTTACGGGCCATATTCCATCCACCATAGAGGGTTGGGAGTGGAACAAAGAAGTGCCCTCCATTGAGGACGCAGTCAGGGTCTGCCTCATCCCCTCTGGCCCTGCCAAGGCAGGCCGTTGCTCCCATCTGAGAGAGACAGGGTGATGGCCAGGCTCCTTGACCACTGTTATGCCGGTGCCGCCCATGGGCTGGCAAACAACATGGCTTTTCTGCTGGGCTCCCTTAGTCATCTTACCCATTAGAGATCAGAGTAGTTACGATCGAAAAGCTGAAATGGCATTGGAGCAGGGGGCCTCTTCTCCATCACCAGCAGCCTCCCTCCCACCAGCAGCCACAGCAGCAATGCCAGCAGAAGGTCCACAGACGTCACTGCCACGTTGAGAGATCCACTGCCAGGGCCCCTGCAAGTGCCAGCCACCTCCACTGCAGCCAGGGGGAAATGAGTAAAGGGAAAGCAGTGTATTCTGTGCACCACCCAAGCTGGGTGTGCACAGCCCAGAGTTGCAGCTCATTCTGTGGTTTCCGCTGACAATGGCATCCAGACCCACAGTAAGGGGACAGCGTCGTCATGGAAACATAGCACCCAACCTCCGGTAACCCCCCATTTCGCCCTAGTGAGTAAGCAGCCCATGATTGACACGTTGCTGAACCCATCATGCTTACAGATCATTGCCCGGCGTGGGTGCATCCCTCTCTCCACCTGGCTAGACAGGATGATGTGAAAGTACTATGCATTGCAATTAGCTACACACTCCATGCTGATTAGTATTGGGGAAGATGTCGATCTTAGGAACGTTCTTAAAATCACAACAAAGTCGCTTGGCCCCGTGGGGTTCCTCTTTACTCCAGTGATCAGACAGGGAGACAGGGCTCCACGAGTAAACGGCAGGCGCTCTATGCAGAGTAACCATATCAACGGCTTCTGTGCGCTACACAGCTGTAGCCTATTTAACTTCAGTTAAAATTATAGGCAAACAGCTTTGGTTTTGTATTTGATTTGATTACATTAATGTTTAAGTTGAGATTTACTAGAAATATTTTATTTCTACTGTGTAAAGGGAATACTGCTGGTAAAAAAAGGCCTTATTAGTTTAGAATGTTTGCAAACCACCTTTTATTGAACTTTTGTGTACATTTAAATTAAAAGTGTGTAATGCACTACTTTAGAATTCATTATCCAATTTTGTGCATAACATAATTAATCGCAATTAAAAATTTTAATTGTTGCCCACTGTGATGCAGTGGTTAGCACTGTTGCCTCACAGTAAGAAGGTCGTGGGTTCAAACCCTGGTCGTCCCGGCCTTTCTGTGTGGAGTTTGCATGTTCTCGCTGTGTCTGTGTGGGTTCTCTCTGGGCATGCGGACTAGGTTAGTTGGTGACTCTAAATTGTCTGTAGGTGTGCCTGCTTGTTTGTCTATGTGTGGCCCTGCGATGGACAGGCCCCTGTACGCAGGATAAGCGGTTGACGATGGATGGATGGAGCATTGGATTCCACCTTGTTGTATTGTGTACAGCTAGGAAAGGAGGGCTTTGCATTGGGTGATTAAAACCACCCAGAACATCATTGGTACCCAATTACATGATAGGCTGAGGTGAGGTGCCAGCCACAGTCTGTTCACACTGCTGCCATCTGACAAGCAAAAGGCCTGCAGAAGTATAATGCTGCCTTACCACCAAACTACAGAGCAGCTTCCTTCCTCAGGCTGAGACTCCTCAACTCCACCTCATCATCTGATGGACAGATAGATATTTAGCTTTTAATTCCTGAAATTAATCATTCAGTCATAGTCATCATTCTTTGAATTAAAAAAAACCCAGTAGTAAACCTTTTATTGTGAAAACCAAACCGCTTTGATTCCGGTCTGTTGCTCTCTAAACCTGTCCTCTTTTTACTCAGCTGGATCATCAGGTGGCTGTTCATCTTTCTTACTCATAGCCTGATCAAACTGATCCCAGAGCAGCCGGGGATCGGGTTTCAGCACCGCGGTCAGCTCCGAGCCCAGCCTCTTCCTCCTCCAGGCAGCAGAGCATCAACACATCAACATTTCTCCTGTTTTCTCTCCCTGCGACCCCTCCCCCTTTGTATCTGCTCTCATGATAAATCCCTCCTATGTGCTACTGACTGGCAGACTCGAAAGGCTTGGAAATCACGCAACTACACTCAACCACACTTTCATTTTTCTTGCTAAGACTGACTTATCTGACGGCAGTTTTTTTTTTGAAAAGCAACAGTCTGAGCAGCTCATCAATCAGGTTTTGCGTCTCCATAGCGGCTTCCTCTGGATCTCTCCCTCTGTGGCTGAGACAGAAGGTGATCGACATCTTTTTTCCCCCTACTTTTGCAGTTTCACCTTTGCGGCAGGTAGGCTACAGTCTCCATCTAAGCCTCGGTAGCATGTTGGACCCGTCTTCCAGCGAGGAGGAAGGGGATGAGATCCTGGAGGTGGAGCGCAAAGAGGTGGCGGCCCCGAAGAGCCTCGGAGGAGCCCGGCTGTCACCGGGCCGAGCCGCCGACGGCGGCGGAGGGCTCCAGTCCCGGGGCCGCGGGAGCGGCGGTGGTCGACCCTCGAGCCCCAGCCCGTCGGTGGGCAGCGACAAGGAGAAAGAGGACCTGGAGAAGATGCAGAGAGAGGAGGAGGAGAAGAAAAAGAGACTCCAGCTGTATGTGTTTGTGATGCGCTGCATCGCCTATCCATTTAACGCAAAGCAACCAACTGATATGGCCAGGAGGCAGCAGAAGGTAAGATCAGAATGAAAATAAGATAAAACCCAGACCTAACTTCAAAGCTGTGTTTTAAATAGCCTACATCTTTCACTTCGAGAAGGCATCACTATGAAAGCCTATACACGACACCAACTGTTGCTTCAATAGTCGCACCATGCTGCTGGATGCTTTTTACAGCAGATGCATAAATGCCAAAATATAACTCAGTTTAATCAACCTTAGAGTCTGAAAATAATCTTCTTCACACATTGCACATCATAGGAGGATCCAAACATTAATAGTGTTGGTAGAAAAGCTAGTTGATTTGCTGTAATCGAGGAAGTGCAGCATGAGATGATAGTTAGTCTACACTACCTCATTACACATAAAGCATCTCCTAGGCAGCCTACATGGCAGTGGCTCCACATGAGCAGATGTCGAGTTGATATTGCTTTCTGATTGAACACATTTTATTTTCTCCCTCCACACAAAATCCTGGAATGATGATTACAAAGCTAAACTGTTTCAGAAAGCGTTAAACATGTTCCAGAAACAATGAAATGTGTCAATCCAAACTAAAGACAGTCATGGCTGGCAGTACAAGGGCAGGCTAAAGGATGAGGAGAGAGAGAGAGAGAGCATATGTACTCATGTTGTTCCCACCCATTATAGTAGCTCTTGCATTTATGCGAATTGCTTCTGGGCATAGAAGTATTAGTGCTGCCCCCCCTACCACAACCCCCCCTCTTATTAGAGCAATCTACTGTACAGGAGAAATAGCTCTTCTTCACCACTCACCAGTGCCACTAAATGACATCCTGTTTTCTGGGAGGAATGTGTCTTTATGGTCTATCAGCTGTGATGTGATCCATATGAAGAAAAGATCACTGTAGCCTACCTAACATAACCTGGGGTATATTAGACCAAGGCATTGGTTAGGTTGTAAAATAAAAGATAATAAAGATAATGGTACAGACAATCAAATACTCTTTCCTAGTGTTATAATGTTACACTCAGCAGTACACACAAAAAGTAATGGGAATAGATATGTAAAGTGACAGCATCACGTCAGCTGCAGTACCCCGTTCAGGTACGGTATTGCTGTGCAGTACTCCTAGAAGTTGACGGCACTCAGCCCAATACATTGTCACAGTAGTTATGTAGTATGTAAGTTGGAAAAAACTATGTGCACAACAATATGCAAAATGTGATCCATTACGAGGCTAGTATAGACAGCTGAAGCGTATTTGCTCCACCAAATGCACATGAGAAACACATCTGGTGTGTCCACTGGATGCGGTTACATTCAGCTCTGACTGCAGTGTGGCTCTATCACATTTCCTCTGCCATGTTACCAATGTGTACTGGCAGCATTTAACAAGCAGTTCTCCTTCATGCAGAATGAACCTCTGCTGAGAGATTTTGTGGTATTTTGTTCATTTTATTTATTTCATTCTTTAAATATGAGTTTTGCTTCACTCTCTCTCTCTCTCTCTCTCTCTCTCTCTCTCTTTCACTTTATAAGCATAGGTGTCCTCCTTCCCACCCCGATAAAAAACCAGGTTTCCTTCAGCAGGTTAACAGATTAAGAGAATCTCTGTTAGTGGAGTCTACTTTTGGCCATGAATTGTCCATATTCCCAAGACAATGATCCAAGACACATTTTAAAATGTGAGAAGTACGAAGGCACGTCTTCAGATTCACTACAAGAGAAATGTAAAATTAAAGCTGCATCACTCACTTTTTGGCAACATCAAAACATGGGATAGATAGTCACCATCAAGTCCTCTTCATAGAGTTTATAATGGCTAGTATGTGTCTGGCACACCGTTAATTGCTTTATAGGTTATAATTAGCAACATCTGTTTGTGAAAACATTTAGCTACTGTCTCCTCCATGTATTATTTTTTCAGTAATTATACTGGTTATATAATACCATGGTATAATAAACCGTGTTGTGTTGAAAATGCTACACAGACACTTGTAACGACCGAGAATGTCAAATACCAGCAGCTTAGACAAAAAATATGAGCAAAGACCCTCAAAAACATACAATAGTTAAACTAAAACAGCCGTACGATTACGTCCAACATTAAATCACTTCTAGTTTCTTTCCGCTAACAATTGAAGGCAAAAAATGTAACTAAAAATATTTTCCCTTTTTCAGTAGTGTGAGTTGGCTACTGGAACAAATCTCAAAATTACCATGCTTATCCATGATTTCAACGCAGTGACTGCTGGGAATCTTGACATCACTGTTAGGTTGCCAGGCAATCTGCCAAGATTCCAGGAAGTCACGATGACCGCTTGCCATCTGAAAAGACCTTTATGCAGGGGTGGCATGAAGTACGAACGCACTCACATCTGAATAGCACTGAATCTGAATAGCAATTTACAATTTGTCTCCACTACCAAAGTCGTCACTATCCATAAGCAAAATGTATACACAAACATCAGATTTGATGGGAATACAATGAAAAACAATATGCTTGACCATTAAAAATATGTATTTTGTGTGTGAGTAGGCTATAATGAAGAGAGACACGGTTCAAGTTCATAACAAATTTAATAACACACTGAATAAAGCCATCAAGTTGTTCAGCACATAGAAAGGAACAAAGAAACACAAACATAACAATGAAATTACATTAAAATGCTGTTCACATGCTGGAAACACATTTTTGGTTATAGCCAGCTGTAGCTATTGCTAAATTATATCTGATGTTAGCTGGTCAACATAGCTTTTTTAAGCATGGCACTTGGGGTCCAAGCAACAATCTATGGGCCAAAGAGACATTGTTTACATTTCAGATATTGACACCATGTATAACCAATAAAAACACACAGATATTTTTAGCTGTAGCAGCAGCAGCGGGAGCAGCAGTGCCCAGTGGATTTATCAGGCGTCTGACTGCAAGGTTGTCTGCGCTGCCTTATTCAGTGCCGGCCCGTGGCATAGGCAGTTGCCTAGGGCGCAAAATGTCAGGGGGCGCCGCAAGAGAAATCAACTCACGTGACACGGTGATAGTAATGAAGCGCACCTCGCGCTGTGAGTCAGACAGTTCTGACAGAGCAGTAACGCAGCTGGTAGAGTTTTGCAATATGAACATCTGGTAGAGTTTTGCAATATGAACATCTAAAAACTGAAGCGCGACCTTCCTCTGTTTGTTACCGTGAGCTGCACTTTATCGGAGCTGTTGAAGTTTAACATGTGTGGATTTGTGGTGAGATTTCTACTTGTTCACAAGCGTTTTAGTTAGTTTCGGGGGGGGGGGGGGGGTCGCCGAGAGCTCCAACACTGTCAGGGATCGTGGACTTGCTGCCTGTCATGACAGAAGGAGCAAATATCCAGCCTCAACCAATGAAGCGGGTTTGGGCCTTAATCACTAATGATCTGCGGTGTTGTCAACTCACAAATGGGGAAAAAGTTTCCAGAGACTGGATCACCTATTCCCCATCCACAGAAAACTCAATTTGTTGGTGTTTTTTCTGTCTGGAAACACATATTTTTGCTGAGCTGTTTTGTTTGTGCTTTTCAAACATGTTAAGTGCTGTATTATATTAACTGTATTTCGGCTTTTAGACTGTTAAACAGCATATAGCCAAGCAGCTAACTAAGTGACCTGTTGCCGAGAACGGCATGTTGCCAGAATGTTGTGTGAATTTCGATTGCACTTTGCTCACGAGACTGCTAATGTGTGTAATGAATTGTTAGCATGTTCCTGTGTTTATTTCTGAAGTAATGATAGAGAACAGATTAATAAAGAAGACAAATGTTTTATACGTTTTTGTTTACTTCTATTACACTTCGATTGATAATTCAGGATTCAATTTGTGGATTAATGGACCGTTTTAATAGACACTTACTGCTACATTTGACTTTAACCTGTTTAAAAAAGAAGAGAAAGATATTATACTTTGGGCTGTACATAACGATTATTTTTCAAGTTGATTACTTTTTCAATGAGTCGATTAATCTAATGACTAATTTTCTATTGAATACATTGAATTTCCTATTACTCAATTAACATACCAATTTATCCAAAATAAATATCAAAAACATGTCTAATCAATAAATCAATATTTTATTCAATCATCCTGATGAAGTACATTAGAATAATGACAATAGCAGCATATCTTAAAATGTGTTGTGCAGCCACTAAAAAACTGTCCAGCGTCACTAGACTGACTTTGGTAACTTGAACTTAAATGATAAAATGCTTGCTACTGTGTGCCGGCGGCCAGCAGTAAAATAATAATACTTTAATATTATACCTACCATAAAGGGCGGAATAGTGTCTCTCCTTGAGCAATAATCTTTGAACTGGCTATTGAAACTTAAACTTTGTTGCAAGATTGCAGACATCTGGGGCAAGTAGTGGACTGCTGTGTGTGTGTGTATTTGTGTGTTTCCTGGGGCGTGAGGCGTGATATGTATATGTTCATTATATCACTACTATGAACCAATCAGATTGCTTGATTTGAGCAACCCGTTTTATTAGCAGAAAATATGAAACGGCCGAACACACGGTGTAGCGTTACGTTACCATGACAGTAGCGACTAAGAAATACTTAGAAAATACATTTTAATGGACTACATGTGCTGATAACGTGCCATACTTGTGTGGAGACAGAAAGTGAACAGGATTTGCGGTGCTGCTGTCAGTGCTCCGGGATACTTTCGCTTCACGTGTTCACGCTGCTTCAGGTATTCATGGACAGCAGTTGTGCTGCAGTGAAGCTATTTCCAATTCACGGAACAGCACGTTGTTGAGTGTCTGTCTAAAATACTCCCAAACTTTAGAAGGTCAAAGGCGAGGTCTTGTAGCTGGAGCTTGTCCAGGGGAATCCCACAAACACCGGATGCAGCGACGCTTTGACGCACATAATGCGTATATATACGTAATCGATTATATCGACTACATCGAGGAATCGCCCCAGCCTTAATTATACTTGTTCACTTACCTGTTTGAGAAAAGCTAAAGAACGTGATAACTGTAGTGTGTTGAACTACAGATGGAGTTACCGTTTGTGTT